TATCCATCCCCCTCGAAATCGCATAACACATGAACACATTCCTATTTTAGATTTAAACCATGCGCGCAGTAGTAACCAGAATTTTCTAGATCCATGCACCTGAACAGAGATTTAAATTTCTTCTTGGTACCAGTTCAGTGGCGAGGGAGAAAAGGCATCACGTAAAGCCGTTTTCCGTCTGAGCCGCAAATGAAGTCACAAATTCCTCTTCTTGACAATTGGCAATTTCTAAAGGTTTGTAGAAAGAAATAAAGTCTTTTCCACAAGCTCAAATTTTCTAATCTATATCTTTGCAACCTTATGGCGTAAAGCTTTGATATTTCCAACTAATATTATTTGATTTATCCAAGGTCATACGACATTGGGTTGCAAAGATTCAAAATGTTAAATAAAATTCCTGAAAAATTCCTGGGGAGGGCTTAAAAAATATGCCAGATGGGATTTTTATTTGACGTTAGCCCCCCCCCCCCATGGATTCCTAAAAGTAACCAAAACAGGGTTTCTTTTCTGAACAGTAAGTACACAATGAACAATCTAATGAACATATGAACACAAAATAATTAAATATTTGACCTTCAACAAATGTTCTTAATATGTAAACCATTTTAACACGAGTTCAATGTGAATTTGATAAACTGGAAAGTGCAAAACAAAATTGAGATTAGGTTTTTCTCCAGGGACCTATGAATAGCAAGAATAAGTTGAACTACGTAGACTTGGTTGAACCAATTTTATGTTAGTAAGTTTATGAGAAGTGGTTCAACTTAGTCTATCATGGTTCAACTATACTCTTGCTACTTCTTGAATATTGTAATCCATACAGTGAGAACAAGAAAACTGTGGAGTAGGAGGACGATATTTAAGTAATGATCAAGTGTATTTGATGTTGATACAAGGCAATTAGTTTTACAAGTAACTTATTAAATCACTTATTAAGTGAAATGGAGTTGTTTGAACTGCACAATTGCTGTGTAGTATGTGCATTGAACTATTTAAAGTCATAACTTGAGTCTAAAAGTCGGCTTCCTATTCCAGAGGTTTCTAGTTTTCATTGTATTAATATTAAGATAAATATTAAGCATTCATTTTTAATATACTGAAGTTTGAGAAGTAAAGGTTGTTATTTCTACCCAAAATCATGGAGACGCAGAGTTTAGGATCCATTTAATTGTGATGCGGATCCGCACTGGAAAAAATGGATCTGATCTAGGTCATAAACATTTCTTTAATATTTACTGATTTTTTACCACAATAATAATTTCAAATTATTTTTCATCTTTTTTATGCTAAAACTTAATGAGCTTTTCAGAAATGAGGAATTTTTTGATAATCTCTCTTTTTTCAGATTTAGGTTTTAGGAGCAAAAAGATTGTTGCTTGCAGCTTTTGGTTAATATTTTGAATGAAAAAATATGAGATAAATTAGCTACAGGGTTTCCCAAGAAACATGACAGTCTGTGAATAGTTTTAAATGTCTTCTTATAACTTGTTAACTTCTTGTTAACTTCCCAAAGAGAATAATAAAAATAAATAACATGGAAGTCATACAGGGTGTCCCAAAAAACATGGGAATTCAGTGACGAATTCGATATCGTCTTTTCAAATAATTCTTCGATTTAGTATAGTGATACCTACTGAGAAAGCTGTAATCTGTAAGAGTTTTGTCTGCTATGTTCACATTTTGTTTGTTTATGTTTTGACTGCAACCGGGTGTACTTAGTAAAACAAGAAAATTGCAGTATACAAACAGAGTAATCTTGTCCGTATTCACTGTTCATCTTGCGGAGACATTATAGACACATCTTTGCAGTCTTTTACCCTTTTCATAAAATAAACTCTAGCAGACATAATAATATTATGGCTTTGAAATTAGGTATTACAATGCTAATTCATAACAAAGACGATATCGAATTCTTCACTGAATTCCCATGTTTTTTGGGACTCCCTGTAGTATACTAAACTTGAGCTGGAAGATGACATTCAAAACTATTTCATGTTTCGTGTACTATTCATTAGATAAATTTGTAACGTCATTTGCAGCTTGACGAAAAAAGGTTAAGTGTGCCTTACCTCCCTCGTTAGATACCTTAGGCTTCTCTGTACCAAAGCTCTGCAGGTAGTCCAACTTTAGATAAAAATTAAGATTTCAATGCATAGTAGTTCTAACTTCTAATTCTTGGGAATTTTTGATCAAAAATTGGTCAAAACAGATTTCTTTCCAGATGATAGATATTTCCTGTACAGACATCCTTTAAGTATTTATGTTTAGAATTTATGAACCAAACAAGTTTTTTACACAATCCTCAAAAAAGAAGTTTAATGGTTGAACTTGTAAGACTGTTTGCTTTAAAGAACACTGAAGATAGCTTTAATATCGTCTTCCTACTCCACCACATTCCGGTAATGATCTTCCATTTATAATCGTCAATTTCTTCTTAGGGACTTATTCGATTATTTAAGAACGTAAGTCCATCTATACCATCCTTTACAATTTCACAATATTTTTTTTCTTTTTACAATCAAAGATTGGGGAGAAAATAGCTTTTATTTATAGATTTTTTTATCAACAAATCTTGGAATGGCTGCACAGGAAACATTTTTACCTACTTCATGTACCGATGGCAAAGTTGGCGGGTAAATATTTATATGTTCGCAATAGGTTTGTCGGTGACTAAATGTTTGCAGGGTGGGGCTTTATATGAATAGCTTTCACTTATAAGCAGACAAATAAAAGATATAGTATATAGATTCTTAAAAACATCGCACTTTGTAAATTTTCTTTTTAGTTCTTGAGATATTTAATGAAAACAAAACTCGTTGATAACCTAATGATTTAAAAACCATTGGGGCTTTTTTTTACAAGCGCTTCAGATTTAATACAAATAGATCGAAAAATAATTACATTTCCTTTAATTTGAGCATTGCAGAAATTGACTTTTATTGTAGTTTTATGCATTATTTTGCAGGTAAAATAAATTATTAGAAAAACTTCGGTTTTCCAGTCCAAACTTTGATTGTAAAAAAGAAATAAAAATATTGTGAAAATGTTAAGGATAATATAGATGGACTACCGAGCTAAATTAATCGAATTAGTCCCGTTTTAAGTAGAAGTTGACGATGATAAATGGAAGATCATTCTCGGGGGACTGTTTGGTGGAGGTTCGGAAGCCCTTATGGGGACGCGTACTGCCGCATATAGGTAAAATGAGGTTCAAATGTGCGAGGGGAAGGTTGCCTTCCCTCCCACACCAGGCCCCTGAGCTATAGTCTTCAAGTCGGTCCGGCCCAGTATTGAATTGTGAAAATACAAGCTATAGCTTGAACTTACTGGTTCCAGTACTTTTTGATCTACCGGGTTACCATGGAAATTACAAGAAGAGACAATTTACAATAATAAAAACAGAGAGCTCCAAGCCTGACTTTTAGTTACTACATACAACAAACATCTTTAATTTTTTAAAAATTTTCAGTAGTTTTGGTTCTCATGCATTTTATACCATTTTTCAGTAGCCTGGGTTCCTCTGCAGTTTATACCATTTTTCAGTAGCCTGGGTTCCTCTGCATTTTATACCATTTTTCAGTAGCCTGGGTTCTCCTGCAGTTTATACCATTTTTCAGTAGCCTGGGTTCCTCTGCAGTTTATACCATTTTTCAGTAGCCTGGGTTCCTCTGCAGTTTATACCATTTTTCAGTAGCCTGGGTTCCTCTGCAGTTTGTACCATTTTTCAGTAGCCTGGGTACCTCTGCAGTTTGCAACATTTTTCAGTAGCCTGGGTTCTCCTGCAGTTTATACCATTTTTCAGAAGCCTGGGTTCCTCTGCAGTTTATACCATTTTTCAGTAACCTGGGTTCTCCTGCAGTTTATACCATTTTTCAGTAGCCTGGGTTCCTCTGCAGTTTGTAACATTTTCAGTAGCCTGGGTTCTCCAGCATTTTATACCATTTTTCAGTAGCCTGGGTTCTCCTGCATTTTGTACCATTTTTCAGTAGCCTGGGTTCTCCTGCAGTTTATACCATTTTTCAGTACCCTGGGTTCCTCTGCAGTTTGTACCATTTTTCAATAGCCTGGGTTTTCCTGCGTTTTATACCATTTTTCAGTAGCCTGGGTTCTCCTGCAGTTTATACCATTTTTCAGTACCCAGGGTTCCTCTGCAGTTTGTACCATTTTTCAGTAGCCTGGGTTCTCCTGCATTTTATACCATTTTTCAGTAGCCTGGGTTCCTCTGCAGTTAGAACCATTTTTCAGTAGCCTGGGTTCTCCTGCAGTTTGTACCATTTTTCAGTAGCCTGGGTTCCTCTGCAGTTTGTACCATTTTTCAGTAGCCTGGGTTCCTCTGCAGTTTGTACCATTTTTCATTATCCCTGGGTTCTCCTGCAGTTTGTACCATTTTTCAGTAGCCTGGGTTCCTCTGCAGTTTGTACCTTTCTTCAGTAGCCTGGGTTCTCCTGCAGTTTGTACCTTTTTTCAGTAGCCTGGGTTCACCTGCAGTTTGTACCATTTTTCAGTAGCCTGGGCTCCTCTGCAGTTTGTACCATTTTTCATTATCCCTGGGTTCTCCTGCAGTTTGTACCTTTTTTCACTAGCCTGGGTTCCTCTGCAGTTTGTACCATTTTTCAGTATCCTGGGTTCTCCTGCATTTTATACCATTTTTCAGTAGCCTGGGTTCCTCTGCAGTTAGAACCATTTTTCAGTAGCCTGGGTTCTCCTGCATTTTAAACCATTTTTCAGTATCCCTGGGTTCTCCTGCAGTTTGTACCATTTTTCAGTAGCCTGGGTTCTCCTGCAGTTTATACCATTTCTCAATAGCCTGGGTTCTCCTGCAGTTTGTACCATTTTTCAGTAGCCTAGGTTCTTCTGCATGTTATACCATTTTTCAGTAGCCTGGGTTTTCCTTCTTTTTTAATATTTTTTTTAACAGCAGAGTTAAAATTATTTTCACTAATTTGAAATTTTGGGACACAAGAGAATGCTTTAAAGACCAACTATAACAAAACAAATGTAAGGTTCTTTGCTTGATGCGTATCTCTTATTTTTGGGTTCGAACTAGGAGATATCAAATGAGACGCGCAGTAAAGCAAAATTATAATTTTTGAGTAGACTTTTTTATCTTAGGATTTCTTTAATGAACTAAAGTACAAAATCATCATTCAGATAATAATTATTTTATTTACAATGTTGACGCAAGAAATCTGTAAATAAATCAACTGATCACTGAGCTTGTTCCTTCGCTGCTAATTCCTTCTCGTCATCAATAATATCAAGCTCCTGGAGACGGGCTTTTAGGGCTCGGGTATCCATCCCACTTTCCTCATAATACCTAGATTAGTTCAGTATTAATACAAAAATATCTTAAATTTTAAATTAATCCCCACTCTCACTGTAAAAATGTAACCACCAATTTTTCCAGATTTTCATATCTTTCTTTAAAATTTTAATACAATTATAAATCTTTAAACATCAAAATTAATTCAACAAATTTCAGAAAAATGTATATTTAAACATTTATTCTTCCAAAACCCTTCATTTGTTTACATTTCAAAATACCCACTGGAAAAAATTAAAAACAATGGTCCAATGATTCATCTATACCATTTGAAAACATCTAACATCGAGGATGAAACCAATTTTTTCATCTTTATTTTAGAAATATCGAAGTCGTTAAAAAGTTTTGGTATAGGGAGACCACTAGTACAATGAAATTTTGTTTTAAAATAGTCCCATGAACATATTGCAATATTGCAATGTACAGTGTACACTGGTACACGTTGTACAAGACCCATTTCACTTGATATGTTGCAATTTTAACTATTTGCTGTATAACAAAATAAAAACAAATAAAATTGCTTTAATGGGAGTTTTCCTGTTCAACCCTTTAACAGGTTTCCCTGTATGAAGGTTATTAATGTGAACAATCCCTTTATTCTAATTTAATTTATCAAAATACTAACTTAATGCAAACTTCTAATTGAGCTCTCTCCAGTCCTTCAACCTGGCTCAATACATAATTCAATATTTAACAACAAGATAATATTTTCATCAGGAATAAAATATGTTTAAATAGAAATATTAGATTTTCAAATCAGCCGGAGAATGGAGATGAAAACTTTTGAATGAGATGATGTTAATCTTATGACTTAAATCCTGTCAGTAAACTTTTGAATTCAGGAGGTAAAAATGAAATTTCTTACATAAAATAAAATATTATTTTTCAATTAAATTTCGGATTGCTTAGCAACTATTTTCGGGAGAAATCAAGGATCTGGAATATTTCTTTTCTAAGAACTGATCTAGAAACAATGGAATCTATCTTTGTTCGGACGGTTCCAGGATCTAGAATCTATTTATATTAAGGACGGATCTAGGATCTTTATCCATCTATTCATAGGACGGATTCCGGATCTGGATTCGGAATCCATTTATTCTCAAACGGAATCAGGATCTAAAACCGAAAAAAATATTGGAAGACGTAGAATTGATAGATTTGAATGCGTTGTATTCCTGATTAAGTAAATTTCCTCCTAGAGCTTGATCTATATCACTCTCCTCCCGTAGACAGAAGAAATATATCTAGATAATTTAATAAGATTATTTAAACAGATTAATACTAATTGTTATCGTTATAATTAGTATAATTATCTCATGACACAAGTATAATTAAAGTTAAAATTATGGTCAGAGCAACACATAATAAAACATGATTTGTTAAACAAATTTAAAAGTTCAAAAAAGTTTGCTTAAATGTTTTAACATCCCTTACAGCTAATATTAACAGTCCAAATGTGTCAGCTATTTAGGTTGAAAAATGTTTATCCACAAAGGATGTGACTTGATTAATGTTTATTCTTTAAATTTCTAATTCTGTACAGTTTAATATCAATAGTTGTTGTAGACGTAATTTCCAATGACCCAAGTCCATCAAATCTTTGTATCGGCAAGTGTGACGTAGATAAACCTTATCTTAAAGCTTAAAAATGAGCAACTGGATAATCGAGGTGCCTGCAGTGAACATTCCAGTTTCCTCAACCTCAATTTTCAGTTTTAAAAATAAGAATATCTACGTCAATCTAAATCAGACAAAGAGTGCCGTTTATCTATCACCCTAAAGTTGATAAGTCACTTGGTCCATAGGCCTTCTTTGTCAATGTCTGCACTCTACAGTTGATATGTAACTTGGCCTTCTTTGCCAATATTTACACTCTACAGTTGATAAGTCACTTGGCCCATAGGCTTTCTTTGTCAATGTCTACACTCTACAGTTAATAAGTCACTTGGTCCACAGTCCTTCTTTGTCAATGTCTACACCCTACAACTGATAAGTCACTTGGCCCATACAGGGTGGCCAAAACTTTTTTGAATCCATCCGTACAAAAATCCGTACATTTTCAGAAGAAATCCGTACAATCCGTACAATTTTCGAAAAACAATCCGTACAATTAAACTAACTTCATTTTGACGAGAATTTTTTTTTTATTTTCATGAAAAATTTGCTTAAATGAGTGAAAATTTAAAAAAAACGGTGTATTTTCCAGGATAAAATCCGTACAATCCGTACAGTTTGAAAACAAATCCGTACAATCCGTGCAATCCGTACAATCCGTACAATTTTAGGGTTAAAAAAAAATCAATCCGTACAATCCGTACAATCCGTACATTTTGGCCACCCTGCCCATAGGACAGTCCACCTTATAACTGAGACGTAAGCCTTAAGGGGATAAAGTCTGTCAGGACTCAGGACCACACACTACATGGTGAGATTGATCCCGGCTTAGGCCGCATTGACTAACTGGTCCACTCCTCCCATTAATAGATATATGTATATTGTAGAAATCCAAATTTAAACTCTAGAATAACGTCGTCATTGAAGTCTCATCCATGAGGGGTAACCCTGTATAGTAGTGTATGTATACTGTAAAATGTAAACAAAAGCTAACATTAAGATAAATTACCATTAAGGAGAACATACTGATTGTGATAACTGGGAACTGGTATCCAGGAATATCAAATGTTTGACTAAATAAACAAAAATTAGATAATTAACGATAAGCTGACAAAAAAAATTAAGTTGTCGAATAAATAATTAATATGTATCTCAATTTAACAAGAATTGTCAAAGATTCACAACAGTACCCAAAAAATTATCTAAAACTTCGAGCACAACGTTGAAGAAGAAATCAATAAGTTTATGTAGGTCTCTAAAAAAGTAGAGTTTGCAAGTCTAAATTGATCAGAGCTGAAAACTTTAGAATGAGATATACTTAATCCCGATTACTTCCTTCCTTCTATTTCTGTATATAGTCTTAAATGGCGCGCAAAATATCAAATTTATCGGCTTCATATACGCGACTCTGATTGGTTGAATATTATACACTTTTTAGGATACAAGTAAAAGATTAGATTAGTCTCGATATTTTGAAAAAGAGAGGATCAAGCATTAATCTCGATATCCAGTGTTGTGTTGGATACTCATAATCCCGCTCGCTTGATCTCGATATCCACTTTTAATTTGAGGATTAATGCTTTATCTCTTAATTTCAGTTATTCCTCCAGAGCTGAAAACTTTCGAATGGTGGATATCGGGATTAATGCTTAGTCCACTCTTTTTCTTAATCTCGAGATTAAATAATGCTTGTTCTCCTCTCATTTTTAATCTCCAGATTAATTATCCGATCAGGATTAAGGATATCCCATTCTAAAGTTTTCAGCTCTGGATATATTTTCCATACGGGATAACGAATACAAATTAAATTTATCTGCAGATTAACAAAAGATAGAGATCAAGCAATGATCTTGATATCCACAGAATAAAAGTTCCCAGCTCAGATGGATTTAATAAAGATATTTCTAGCAAAGATGAAGAGATAAAGAGTAAATAAAGGAAACTATTAGGAATCGTTGATTAAATAAAGGGTTTGAATATAACTAGTTCTGGATGAACCATGAAATGAAACAGTATGAATGGATGAGAGAAGTAGTTGAACTAGTTAGGACTAATACATATATAAGTAAGCAAGTAATTATTAATTTATGAAATATAACAAAAACATACAAAATTTAGTGTTTCTGAGGCCGAATTAAAAAAATTTGAGCTGCGGCTTAAATCTAAGCCACGGCTCAAATATGGTTGGTTCCACTTAAATTGTATTCAATTTTTCAAGATTTAAGCTGGCGCGCAATTGAAACCGGTTTTAGGGGAATTTGGTACGCGGCTTAATTTTATTAAATTCGGACACTGGAAAATATTTTAAAATCTCCAAAAATGAGGTTGTGGGAATATTTCCCCTGACTCTAAAAATATATAAAAATATAAATAAAAGGAAAGTTACATATTTATTGTTTACATTATATTTAACATAAACTAGTGGTGGATTGTTAGTATTTTTCGACGATGAACTAACAACTTTTAGAAATAAAAATGGTAGATTTATTGAAATGTTAAAAATCAAAATAGAATGGCTTTAAGGGTTGTGAAAAAAATATAGGTTCTACGCAAAACGCGACATTTTTAAACATCTTTTTTAATTCGCGCCGATTTTTGACATCATTAAGGTTTGATTTTTACTTTTTTACTCTTTTTAATCTTTTTACTCTTTTCTTTGTATAATCGTCTTTGCTTTCTTCGATTCTTTTGCAAACATAGCATGTGTTAGAATTAAAACATTTGTTCTGCTGATAAATTCTTAAATTAAATTCTGTTTAAAATTCGAAATATGATTGATATTTGAAAGCTTAGAAAAGTGTTGTTTATTTTCATCCCATATTTTAGGGAAACTGTGACGAGGAAGCAGTTCAATTTTAATAGATTTTACTCTAGGAATATAAAAATCATATCTGTTTCTAAGATTTGCGCTTTTGATATTTTTTAAATGTTGGGGGTAATGGTCTCCTTTAACTTTAAATAAAAATTGATAACATTAAAAATTCCTATTTTTCTGGTATGGTCGAAGTCCAAAAAGCTTCCGCTGTGTGACTTATTCTGGGCAACCAAATCAATGATTCTATCTTATTTTAAAGTTAGCATTAGGAATGTTGAACTAAATTCTAAATGTGAGTATAAAAGGGAATCATAACGCAATTTCATTTTGATGCCACATTTGTGTCGTCGGCAAAGGCTACACTGAAAAGTTTATTAGATTGGAAGATAATGAACAGTAAACAGCTAGACTTGATCCTTGAACAAGACCCATCTCTAGTTCAAACCTCTTCTCCTTTAAAGTGGTTCAGTAATCTCATTGGTATAAACAAAACTTGTTGTTTTGACTTTTGAGACTCTGAGTTGGTTAAAAACACTTATGATTTAGATTGGACCATTTTCATATATTGTCAAATATGTAAGTTATTTTTTACAATAAATAGGGTTAGAACAAACCTCATTTTTATAACACTATCCCCCCTGTAAGCTGGACTTTTTGTGAACACTACTGGTCCTGTATCCTTCGCTTCTTCTCTAGCCCTTAAAACTGTAAAAAAATACAAAAATGTAAATGAAAAAATTGTGTATAACAGATCCAGAAAAATGTATATGCAAAGATTTTCTACCAGAATCTTGTGTTTTAGGTATTGTAAAATTTTACTCTATTTTTAAAATGTATAACATTATCATTGGGAAAATTTCAAAGTTAATAAAGATAGGCTTTAATATATTTTTTTTTGGAGGGGGGGAGGGGTTAGATAACTAATCATTTTTATATCGAATAAACTGTTTGAGAAGAAGTTTCTCTGCCTGAGTCTTTTGATCCTAAACTTCCTAGTTTCTTAATTCAAATTAGAGCTAGGATGTATATGTATAGTATTCACCCGTCTACAAGCCGATGATGAAAATTATTTCTAGGGCTGACTACGAAAGTAGATCTAAAATCAATTCGAAAATAGGAAATGGCATGAACATCATCTGTGCAGCAAAGGCAGAGGATTTTTCTCCAAGTGCTTAATGTTAAAAGTGTATCATTATAAAATGTATACGAACCAGTAAAACAAAACAGTAACTATAAAGAAACCGCGTTTTTCCAAAAACTCAAACTTTCTAACTCCTACATCTTAGCAACCTGATGGTGTAAACTTTTGATATTTTAAATTTAGATCATTTGTTCAGATTTCTTAGTTTGAAATGTCTAAGCCAGGGGGTTCATTTAGAAATTGTGTAGCAGGTATAAGACTTCAATTTGTGGCGGATTTTATATAATGCTATTGGTACCAGATTTTAGGGACTAAGCTACTATTTGTAGCAGACATGGTCTAAAGATAGAGATACATTTTTTGTATATAAATGTTGTTTTGTTGAATTTTTTGGGTGTAATGGGTGTACAGTGTACAATGAACCACCCATCTGGTCTACTAAGACATTGGATTGTAAAGATATAGGGATTTAAAAATCAGAGTTTGTGGTAAAGACTGAATTTCAGTTCCTTTAAAAGAATAAATTAAACTCTACCTGAATTAGTAGACAAAGAGATTCTAGTAACAGATGAACATTTGTGCAAATTAGACTGTAATCTTATACTTGAACGTAAAAGCTGCATTTTGTCTGAAAATTATACATTAAAGTCAACGACCTGAAATTTAACTAACAATTTTGCTTTATGTTACAATCAACATCTATTTTGTAATGAACATTATCGTTTCAGTTCACATATTTAGTTCATAACTTATTAATTGAAAAAGTAATGTCAAGAAATTTTATTTCTAAGTTGATATGAAGACTTTAAAAAAATGTAACTATTAACAAGGAATATTCGCAAAAATAAAACGGGATACTTTTTCTACGATTTTGACCATTATCTGATGAAATAATAGGAGTGCCAATCATATTTAATTTCACCCTTCCTGCTTCCAATTTAGGCGAACATTCACGAGTGGAAAAAAGGAATAACTAAAAAACCAAGAGATCAATGAAAAATGCGAAAAAAGTATTTTCAAATGCATACTAGAGAGGAAAACAAAATATAGAATTTAAATTATTTACAAAAAAACATATTTACAAACAAGTTTTCATATCAACTTCCTTATTCTGTTTTCCTTTTGTTTTGGGTTTAAAATCGTTATAAACACTACTGGAACCAGCGTCACCCTGGAACAAAACAATTAAGGTTAAAAAAGAAATAAAAAAGGTACTCCCCCCCCTTGATGTCCTTTTTATGATACCAATTCATAACATTTCATACATTTTTGGAAAGTCCTTGAGCTCTACGTAAATAGTCTACAAAAAATGTGCAAAAATCCAAATTTTTATTGCGAAATCCCATTATTTAGCAAAAATAAGTATGAAAATAAAAATTGCGCGATATAAGATAAATTGTTAGCAAACGAAGAAAAACGTCCGAACTAAAAACTGATTTTCTTCTTCAAACTTATATTTAAAAAACGCAGAAATGATCAACAAAAAGATTAATCAACAATCACATTACGTTAAGTAACAAATATTCTCTTCTTGATTGATATTATTTGAGATCAGTAATAACAGCTCTGCTGCGGGAGACATATATGTAATTATAAAATATTAGGCTTTCAGCTTTTTTAATAAAAGTATAAAGAAGAAAACTAAAATCTGATTTCACTCCCCTCCTCCATTACCTGTCTCATTTTATCCCTAAGAGAAGGTTCTTTAAATGATATTTGTGAGGCAGCTCTCCTCCCTCTTCTTCCTCCTTCCTCCTCGGGTTCCTTCCCGTCCTTCCTCCCTTCCTCAACTTCACGTGCTCCTTCAACTACTTCGGGCTCAAGAAGAATTATATCAGACACCTCACTTTTTTTACCTACGTGATTAAGATAAAGTTATAAGGAAAGAAAATAAATCGTCAACAATGGCTTTTTTTAAGACATCGCAAATGAGAAGATAATGGCGGCTTTTACTGCAACAACTTAAGGCAAGTATTTTATTCTTTTGATGCTTCAAATGAGGAAACGTTAATGAAGTAAGGTAGTCCTGAATTTAATTGTTTATCGTACCTTTCGTCAGAGTAGACCTGGAGTTTTTCTTGATTTCCTTCCTTCCTTTAGCATCTTGAACCTCAGGTTTCTCACATGCATTTCCTTCGTCCATATTCTTTTCTTCGTCATCATACTTTTCATTAGCAGCACCAACAGATACTTTTTCAGTGTAACACTTGGCACCTGAAAAATTTACATATTTGATGGAAACTACAGCATTTTAACAATATAAAATGTTATAAAGGATCCTTCAACAAAGCCTGAAAAGGATTCCATTAAATTGTTTAATGCATCTATAAATCACCTAAAGGTTTTACCTTTGGTAAATGTAGACCTGGCTTTTTTCTTGACTCCTATGATGATTTCTGGCGATACAGTGGATTCATCGTCAATCCTTTTCCTCTTTCCAACAGGAGGTTCAGAAACCTGTTTTGATTTCCCAATCCGTCTTTTTCTCTTTCCTCCGTTCTGTGGTTCCAGATCTAGCTCCAGTTCAGGTGAATCTACGTTTGTACTTGAACTAGGACCTGGAGCTGGTTCGTCCTGGAATTGTTCTGGTTCATCAGGGATATCTATTTTAGATTTGATTTTTTTAGGCCTGCTTGGTTTTTTCTTCACGGGGTCTAAAGAGGCACCAACGGTCTCGAACAGAGAAGTATCTTGGTTTAGCTTCCGGGCTGGCTGCAGATCACTCAACCTTTTGGAGATATTTTGTAGTTTTACCTCGCAAGATCGATCAGATCGTCGGATGGTATTGGTGAGCTCAATTAAACTATTGGGGGATGAGGGAACGGATCCCGAATCCAAATATTTGGATTGGGAATGGTTCAACGGATTTGTAGATTTAGGGACTGAAACTCTAGTTGATCCTCTTTTCTGCAGTTCTGAAAGGGAAAACATGAAAAACCACAATTGAGTTGTATTGCAAACATTGTGACATCCTTGACAAGCTTATTCTATTTTAAAGTTAAATAATGTTTATTTTAGATTATCAAGAACAAAAATGTAGAAACAGTGAAAGTTCGGAAGAAGCGGTGCTTAAAAAATTATTGTTTGTCATCCTTTTCGATTTGCTTAAAAAATGATGTGAGCAAGTATGTTCAAGATATAATGTAAGCAATGGTAAAAGCAATGCTACAATACATTGTCAACAAAATAGTGATAAAACGGAGCACTTACAAAACATTTCCCCACAAAACGCTTCCTAACAAAGCATTTCCACCACATAACATTTCCTACACAAAATGTTTCCTTTACAAAACGATTCCCCCTCATTATGTTTCCTGCATCAAAACGTTTCCTTACATTATATTTTGACTACAAAACTTGATGTAACCTTCAACAAAAAGTTTCACTTGTCAAACGTTTCCTTTAAAAAATGTTTTCTATCACAAAATTATTAAGGTAAGAGTAGTATCAAACATATTTACATAGCTTGAGTAGGTTACTCATTTCTGACAAACCCAGCAACGTTTTCCAAGTTTTTTTAATCACTTTCGGGGATTTGTCATTTCCAGTTTATGTTAAATAAAATTTGCTCTATATCATTTCAAAGTAATAAGTCTTATAAACATTTTGTTTTATTTCAGGAGTCGTTTGAGGAGGAATCGTTTTGTGGCAGGAAACGTTTTGTTTCAAGAAACATTGTGTAGGGAAACGTTTAGTGGAGACACATTTTGTGGGGAAACGTTTTGTAAGTGCTCCAATAAACCCTACCACTGGTTAGACTAATATAACAGTTGGAGAGACGGAGTGGTTTCTTCCCAAGGTTTAAATATCTCTCTTCTCCACTTCGCGGACGGTTCTCTTCGTCGGAATCCTTCTCCGACAGGACGGATACAGAAGTAGGGTAAGGTTCATTCTCATTAATCCTTCATACAAAAAGAGAAAATCAACTTTAAAGAGAATCTTTTTTTGCAAAACAGGAAGTAGGTACAGAGCTATCCTCAAAGGTTGATTAATAAACGACATAGACCTATTTTTGTCATAATTATTTTATTCAACAGAAATAGGGACTAAGCGTTGGCCATAGAATTTGTGAGACTACTTGAGGGGTTGTTAGGTTATCTGAGGGGTTGTAAGACTACCTGAAGGGTTGTGATGCTACCTGAGGGGTTGTGATGTTACCGGAGGGGTTGTAAGAATACCTATCTATCTATCTATCTATCTATCTATCTATCTATCTATCTATCTATCTATCTATCTATCTATCTATCTATCTATCTATCTATCTATCTATCATGAAGCAACTGTTAGCTCCGAAAAACTACCAGAACCCTACCCATCGCACCGGATGGTCAAAGTTAAGTATCCGGCACGTTAGCTCAGCATAGTGCAATGGTTTAAGCTCACCCGGGCAGCAGCCACTGGGACATATGCCCCTAAAAACCGCAGCCGCGGAAAAAAACTCGTTTCTTCAATAATTTGCATGTCTTTGTTTCTTATCCTCCACCCGATCCTGCTCTCCTGTTCTTTCAGTATCTCAGGTCTTTGGGATTAGGGGGTTGTGATGCTACCTGAGGGGTTGTAAGGCTACCTGAGGGGTTGTAAGACTACTGCAGAGGGGTTGTAAGGCTACCTGAGGGGTTGTAAGACTACCTGAAAGTTGTAAGACTACCTGAAAGTTGTAAGACTACCTGAGAGGTTGTAAGACTACCTGAGAGTTTTAAGACTACCTGAGAGGTTGTGAGGCTGAAGTAAGGCTGAGCTTAGCAAGGAAACCACTGGTTTCGATCCTTGGTTCACTGGTCTCAAGTACAGGGAGAAGACAGGAACTAGTCTCTAGTTCTCCAGTAGCTAACTGAGAACTGGGACCTAGACACAAGGGATAATTTACTTTTTAAGGGATGGGGGCCGGAAGGGGGGGGGGGGTTTAAAATTGAAGCTTTAAGTTGGAGATTTAACTTGTTTTGATATAACCCGACCCTGAAGACATATGGGCCAAATACATTCTTGTGTTAAGTTAACATGAAAAAAAAACAAAATAATTGTGAAAATTTGCAATAAAAAATGAAATAAAAAATATGTAATGAAAACTTGCGAAAAGTGTCACTTGACAATTAATACTAATTGAGGATAAAGTCTTTTTGATGACTGAAGTGTTTAAAAAATATTGTACACAAATACCTAGATCTTCATCTTCATCTTCATCTACGGATCTATCCAGTAGCATACTAGTTCCGGGATAACTGGTTCCATCTAGTATCTTATTGGAACCTGGACTACTGGTTCTATCCAGTATCCTACTTGAACCTGGATCTAGAGAACTGGTTTTATCTAGTATCCTACTTGAACCTGGATTACTGGTTCTATCCAGTAAGCTACTTGAACCTGGATTACTGGTTCTATCCAGTATCCTACTTGAACCTAGATCTAGATTACTGGTTCCGATTTCTCCAGACTGAACAAACCCACTAGCCTCCAAGCTCTCACTAGTAAGGTCAGAGCAGTCCAACGAGCTCAAAACACTAAATATAAATTTATCAATATGAAAGGTCTAACCCAATTTTCATAAATCTTTAGTCATCTACTTCTAGTCATAAGCTCTTTATTTCAATTTTGTTTTTCTCTCTCAAAAACTAAGCTTAAGATATTGTCGAATTTTGAATAAAAATTGCATGTTTGAAAGGAAAGTCGCAGTTCTACAAAAATTATAAATATAACTCCCCCCTCCCCCCTTTATACCAATGGAGTATCCGCTTTTTACCTCTCAGAGGGTTCGTCACTTAAAAGCGTGGAGAGCCTTTTCGCTGCACTCTTCCTTTTCTTGTTCTTCTTTACCGAACCAAACAACCAGCTTGGACCGTCCATATCACATCCAAGCCGCTCAAAGAAGGAATCGCTAGGGTTCTCCGGGAATTCTTCCGGGATAAAATCCGGATTCGGAGACCGGTATACCGGAACTGGAGATGCAGATAACGGAGTCTCAACTAAAAATAAGAATACAAAAAAATGATTTCATTAACAACAATTTAAAGATTCCTTAAAAACATATAAAAAAATAGATTGCGACAGATTTGAGCTTTTTTTTTATTTCCCAGCTCAGCATTACTAAAGGTCTAAAATATTCCTCTTCATTTACCGTACTCTCTGTATTTTTGATAACGAATTTGTGTCCTTCTGACCGGCCATTTTCTGAAACCTAGAATGAGAGTTAGAATCTCTTTCGTAATTTTCATTATAAAAGACAAATTCTGAGAGAGCCTCGACCACCTATTTTCTTATATTTAAAACATGTGCATCAATCTTTTCCCTGATTTTATATTTTATATTCTTTATCGTCTGTTCATCAGAAATCCAAGTGCCACGCACTATAAAATACAAGCCAGGGCCTAGGTTAAAGAAAACAAAAAACACTTAAAGAACATATTTCTACGTAGAACATAATTATAAAAACAAATGTTTATAATCAACGTCAGTATTTGACGTTAACAATGCTTTAATTGCTTGTCTTAAGAGCCTTAACGAGCTTGACATAATATACTACGTATACAGACAAAAAGATAAACATTTACGACTAAAATTTGTAGATATTTCATCTTTCAGTTATCGACTTTTAAACAATTCAGATTAGATTTATCATGTTACCACCACGCAATGTAGCTTTTACATTGATATACATAAAAAACAACTCAAAAAACTGAATTAATTGTTCCGTTATCCTTTAAATCTTGAATATTCAATTTTAAAAACTATAAAATCTAATTTGTTTAATTTAACCATGCACAGAGGAACCGTAAGAGGTGGATAGTTTTGAATGAAAGAGACGAGTTAAACTCATTCTTTCCTGCGTGAAGATCAACTAATCCCTGTTAAAATTTTGGATATGACCAAATAATAGTTTCAATTTGGATAGTTCTCTTACGAGGAGAGAATAATTTAGGGGTGTTCATTTTTAGGGTCACTTTTGGTACAAAGATGCAAGGTCGCCAGAAAGTTGCAAAATTTTGCAAGATTTTCCAAAATAATTTTTAAAAAATTCTTAAAAAATTTTTTCAGGGTGCGCCAATTGATTAAAATTTCACCTTTTTCATTTTTTTTTTTACAAAAATTGTAATATGCCCATCCCTAATTTGGTTATCAACATGCATATCAGTTATTATGGAGATAAACATGTCTAGAATGCACACACAAAAATTAAAACCCTATCTTGACTGGAAAGGTGTGCGCCAAATGGTTTCTTGAACTACGCAAAAACAAAAGAAAATCAATCAATCAATCAATATTTTTAAACATTTTTGGCGCAAGTACTTCTAACCAAGGTAGGATGTTAATTTTTTTTGTATGATCAAATTAGACCATTTCAGATAATATATCTGGACAGTATCATCTCAACTGGGGGGGGGGGCGGGTCCCCCCTCTTTTTTGTAGAAATGGAAGAATTAAATCATAAAAACTCCTCATATACAGCACATTTGTACTTGGTTTAATGCAGTATAGTAGGCAGATACTGCATTAAACTAAGTACAACTATACTGTATACATTCTTATAAAAGTATCTGCCTACTATACTGCATTAAACCAAGTACAACTATACTGTATATATTCTAGGAATAGTATCTGCCTACTATACTGCATTAAACCAAGTACAACTATACTGTATATATTCTAGGAATAGTATCTGTACCAAAAGTGACCCTAAAAATGAACACCCCTAGAGAATATGTACAATCCGTTCCATACATATAAAAGAGTTGTTAGCTGCGAAGAAAAGCGAATCTCAAAACTAACCTAAACACAGGTATGAAGACGTGGACTGGTTTAGATTGCTCAGCTGAACTGTAGGATATCTGGTTGTACGAAGCAGATCAACTTGAGGGGAACACCTAAATGTTAAAACATCAGCTAAAGCATAAAATCAAATAAAATCAATATTACCATTAATTGCAAAATCTCAAAAAAACTCAGAATAAGTTACAACAACGGCATTTTTCTATCTGAACTTTAAAAAGCGCTTCCAAAAAAAATGACTATCAGACACCCTTTTCTTCTTGGAATTTTACCTTAGTTCCACAATACCATACAAAACTACGTTTTTCAGGAATGGGGGGAGGTAGAAGCAGCATGCTTTGATCCAATTTAGGGATGTAACTTAATATTTACAAAAAAAATAACCTTAGAGAAGAAGAAGTAACTAAAGAAAGTGAGTTAGTGGGTTTACTGGAGGCAGGCGTTCTTGAGACGCTTGAAGATACTTCCGACAAATTCGGAGATATCTCCGATAGAGCTGGAGATGCATCTGATATCTCCGACCTTCCCAATCCTGAAATAGTCCCCAACAACCTATGCCTGGAAAGCCGCCTCCCAGTTGATCTAACTCTTCGTTGTATTGATCGATCTAGTCCAGGACTATCTTCAATTGAACTAAAAAATAGATTTATCAATAACGAATTATTTGAATTGAATTGATTGAATAGTTTTATAACGAAAATATGTCTAATTGGAATAAACACTAAACAGAACAGTATAGAATACTCTTACTGTAGTTCAAGTTTGGAGTACTGAACTATTCTCGACTACTCCCTCAACAAAACTTTCGACTACTCTCTCGACTACTCTCTCCACTACTCTCTAGACTACTCTCTCGACAACTCTCTCGACAACTCTCTCGACTACTCTCTCGACTAAACTTTCGACTACTCTCTCGACTTCTCTCTCGACTATTCTCTCCACTACTCTCTCGACTATTCTCTCCACTACTCTCTCGACTATTCTCTCGACTACTCTCTCGACTACTCTCTCGACCACTCTCTCGACCACTCTCACGACCACTCTCTCGACCACTCTCTTGACTACTCTCTCGACCACACTCTCGACAACTCTCTCGACTAATTTCTCAACTACACTCTCGACTACACTCTCGACTACATTCTCGACTACACTCTCGACTACACTCTCGACTATACTCTCAACTATACTCTCGACTTCACTCTTCGACTACACTCTTGACCATACTCTTGACTTTACTCTTGACTTTACTCATGACTTTACTCTAGACTTTACTCTTGACAATATTCTTGACTATACTCTTGACTATACTGTTGACTATTTTCTTGACTATACTCTTGACTATACTCTTGACTATACTCTTGACTATGCTCTTGACTATGCTCTATGCTCTTGACTATACTCTTGACTATACTCTTGACTATACTCTTGACTATACTCATGACTATACTCTTGACTATACTCTTGACTATGCTCTTGACTATACTCTTGACTATGCTTTTGACTATACTCTTGACTATACTCATGACTATACTCTTGACTATACTCTTGACTATACTCTTGACTATGCTTTTGACTATACTCTTGACTTTACTCTTGACTATACTATTGACTATACTATTGACTATACACTTTACTATACTCTTAACTACACTCTGTCCTACGTTGTCCCACTCTGACCTATACTCTGTCCTGCTCTGGCCTACTCTATCCTACTCTGGCCTAATCTCTCAATCCTTCACTGTAGTGTCCTAAATACTCTGTCCTACTCTGGCCTACTCTGACCTACTCTGGCCTACTCCTAATCACCTTGAAATTCTAGAATGGTCTGGAACACTTAAGGCTCACCTATTTCTATCATTTAGGATAGCACCTCCAAATGGACTCATACATATATCAGCTGAAGAGCTCGGGGCGGGCTCTAGACCATCAATAAATGGGCGGGACTCCTCTATCGTGAGAGTGGCTTCATTTCGGGGGGAATCCATCAAATGAGAGGACTCCTCAGCAAGCGGCATTAACTCCTCAACAATAGACTCCTCTGGAGGAGACTCCATCAAGGAGGGGGACACCTCTAGCCTACTCTCCTCTCCTATGACGGTAAGATTGAATACTCTCCTTTGTTGGATTTCTGGACTGTGTTCAGGACTTGGTTCCTAAAACAAGATAAGAACATTTTTACGCAATAAATCTTTAAAGGGAGGGGTTCATCCTTTCA